TTGTAATACAAGAATTATTATCTTCGTAATAATATTTAGAGTGCTCTAAGCACTACCATATATTTATATATATATATATATATATATATATATATATATATATATAAGGTTAGAGGATTCGAAGGAGGGACTTGACTACGCCGATCACCGTTACTACTATAATGTTATTCCCATTCATAGTTTTCCTCGTGAATTTTATTGGTGTATCCTTATCCGGAGTTCTTCCGGACAAATACAAATTTCATGTTGTGCGCAACGTAGGCTTGAAGTAAATCAATTATAATACCCATCACGACGGAGAGATTGAAAAGCTACGTTAAATTCTCAGTAATATCCGTGGCGTCATTTCCCTAACGATAAGATTTTGTAATCTATGCGTAAGTAACTACCTAATTCATACTGTAGCTCGTTCCCTGGAGTTACTCTCATTTCGTACTATTAACATATCGTTTCCTATTATGTTTCTGTATAAAGCCCACGCTGTCATCTGCGATGTCACACAGGATAATTCCATTAGAAGACTTCTATCGTCTTGCTTTTCAAATGTACACCGAGCTTTTTTGAAAGCTTCTTTGTTTTCTTTAATTGTCTCTCCATTCCTCTTACGTATCACTCTCTCGCTTCTGTTTTTATTTTTCATTTTCGTTGCCGCGAACTTTTCGGGCTTTCTAGCAGCAAGAGTAATTTTCGGTTCCGATTGGATACATACACACGCCCAGTATACCTCTGCCCCAATGATTTGGTCACTCATACATTCACACCATCGAACGAGATATTATTTGCAGCGTCATTTTATGTAGTCACTTTTAATGACAAGTAGCGTCTGCTATGCAGACGCGAGGCTGTAGTCTGCTTTAGCAGACGAGAATACTTAGTCTGCTTGAGCAGACCATTGTTTTTTATTCTGGAACATATGGGTTAAGTATTTCAACCGGCGCAAGTTTTTTACGGTCTTCACTTCAACGCATTATGTCGGACGTAGACATTCGTTGTTTTTTTTTTTGTTCTTTTCGCATCTTTGAAACGCTCAAGAGGTACACCTAAATAACGCTGCCGACTTGTAATAAGTACTAATACATCGCAATATATAATAATTACTCAACATATGATTATTTTTTCTTAATAATTACTGTGATACATTTATCATCACTGTTATCAATATGGAAGCGAGATAGATGCGGGGGCTCTTAGCTGTATAGTTCCCGGACACTTTGTGCCAGTTGTCGCTTAAGCGAAAGAAGTTCAAAGAAAAAAGTTGTCGGACTCAGCATCCCTTTGCCTAAAAGCTGCTCACAGATGTGCAATCGTCCCGCAATTACACCGGTTGACCAAGGACTTATTATCGGGCAGACAATTAGAATAGTGAAAAGGGAAAGGATTGCCTGCTACGACTGATAGCAAATCGGTTTCCCAATTTTCTCTGTATACAGCAAAGTCGGCAATATTCTGAGAAGGACCTGTTCACTGTCCGGATTCGATTATGCTATTTCATATATTAATAGTTATTCTTTTCTTATAGCCCTTAGTGGTCCGTAGGCCATCAGGTATAACTACAGGCAGCACATAAAATGGCCTATCATACCATACGTGCCATATCATTCTTACCGTTACGTTAAGAAAAGATCTCTAACTTCCTTTAAACATTGTAGTTCGGCTGCGTTTTTTCATATAATTTGCGCTTATTTCTTAAGGAATATGATGTAGTAACATTTGTTAATAATAATGGTATTATCTTCGTGTGTTCTCAAAGCTTGCCCTTCGCTTAGCTTTTTTTCGACAGGCATCTAAAGGCAAGACATTTCGAATATGCTTGTTCGATATATACAGCGTATTCATTTGCCCCTGAATGACAGCCGTTGAAGCACAATAGAGTAATTAATATATATATATATGATCACCAGCGTGATTCTATTTATATGTTGTGTGCAGCTTCTACGAAGCTTCACATGTTTGTTGCCTGATAATCTAGAGACATTGCTTGGCGGTACAAATATAATGGACTCGTCTACATCATATGATCGGTGACATAATGCTGGCTTGCCACATTCTTAATTCAGCACTCCTTCAAGGAGAAGTCAGATCTGTTCCTCTTTATCCCTTTTTTAGATAAAGTCATTACTCAAAGGGTTTCCTGACAAGTTGCTCATTAGAGACTATTCAGCATACAATTTATTGGAATCCGTTATACTAAGCATTTTTGCTTGCGGATTTGATTGCACTTACAATGTTTGCGTTTTGTCCATGGCTTTGGTTCGTTGCTGTTTCATAAGCACACCGCTGTACACAGTCACAGGCGGACGCAAGGCCCTTCTACAATCGGCTTTTACCAGGAACTTCTTTACACCTTCAGACACCAACTGTGTACTCGAGCGCCAAAGGCGTGCGGAGGTTGGAAAATCACTTCTAAGCCAAAACTCTTCGCCTTAGACCGCCGTTGTGGCCGGCGACGGCTGTTGTGCTCCAACTGTTATAACGGCATCGGCCGCGGCAGCCGTTGTGAGCGAAGACAGTTGATCTGACGTCAAGCCGGATCCGTGATCGTGGTCTGGGCTAGTCGCCCCTGACTGTTGTTCATCGAGATGTTTATATTTATGTGCAGACATCTGGGCCAGTCCGAGAACACAATGTCGACAGATAAGACAGTGGTAATGTGTCTGCTTGGCGTGGGCACATCCTTCGACGGGGCAATCCCGCGAGCCTGATCCAGGAGGACCAAACTTTTCGAATCCCGCTGCTGCGACAGAGTCCAACTTGGCATGTTGCTTCCGATGTGCAGCCACTTTGTTAGTATCCGAGCAGACGAAATCGCACTTGCTGCAATGGTAGTGCGATGCCTTTGCGGCGCCAGGCACTTTCGCTTGCGTTGCCAACCCAAATGTGCAGTCCTGCCGGCCGCAGGATACGCCCGCTCTAAACTGGCGAAAATCGCTGCCCATAACACTGTCCAAGCGGTCATGGCGGGCGGAGTGCTGCGAGAAGCGAGTCTTGTCGCAGAATGAATAGCCACAATCCATACGCTCGCAGTGGAAGTGTGTTTGGTGCTCCCGATAGTTGCACCCGTCGTGGCGGCAGTCCTCGTTAAAGCGGAACTTAGCATAGCCGGGGGGAACAGGCTCTTCGGGACGTTCTGGCCTTGCGGCAGATGGATTGGACCGAGGACGTTTGGCTCCTCCGGTCGCGACACTCCCCGGAGGACTTGGGATTGCGCAGCTATTGAAGGGGAAGGTTCGTTTCTCTCCGAGAGCAGCAGAGACGTTTCCGACACCGCCTGCGACACCTGAAAGAAAACGTGAATTAGCGGGGGCAATTTAAGTTACAGTTTGCTAGTCAAAACGAGGTTTCTATTTTGTTTTGAGCCTGAAGTTGATCGGCAGAAGAATCATAGAAACACCTAATGCAAAGTTCGTAAATCACAGGTCAGAAATCAATACGTACCGTAGAGGAACTCGGGGTTTGTGCCAGCCAGCGGTGATTGGGCAGAGTTAGCCAATTGGTGATGGAGTTGCAATTCAGTTGGCAGCTGTTGCTGCTGTTGAAGGTTGCTCGCGGCAATGGCGACCAATGGACTGGCTGCCTGGCTGAGATCACCTAGTGAAAGCATACCGTGCATATAGCCTTGAGCGGCTGCGGCGGTGGCCTGAGGGGATCCACTCAAGCCCCAGAAAAGGGGTGCACCTGAAAGGCACACAGATCCGGCAAAGCGAGGACTCTGAAGGATGCTACTGGCATCTCCTGATTCGGGCGTACGTAGCAGTCCGCTTAACTGCTGCTGCAACGCGAGTGCTGCGGCCTGATCTGGTGCTCCAGTACTGCTCAAAGGACTCGGCGGCTCCTCCTTGAGGAGGGTTGCTTCTTTGTGGAGAGCCGACAGTGGAAAGAAAATGCCAGCCGATTTGACCATGCCAGCTAGTCCAGCGCCTGCCCCACCACTACTTCCTCCACCAATGGAGCCAGCCTGCGGCGACTGATCGGGACTGCTGCTTGCGGCTGTTAACTTCGATTCTTCACCATCGGATGTCTTCTTCGAGAACGGTGACGAGTTGGCGTTTCTTTGGTCTTCAGGGGACGACAAGGTAGCCTGGCTGGCCGATAGTTCGCCAACGGTTGGCTCACACTTTACCGGCGTCACCGGTGTAAGTGGCGCCCCCGGGGATGGAGAACCTGTGCCAGTAACCAACGATGCCGCCGAGTGATGTGCTATTGTCTGCGCCTGGGAGGCGTGCGTTGCGTCGTGTGCACTGATGGCTGAGACGCGCACGAACGAGAAATCGCAACCATCACGAGTACAGTGGAAATGCCTACTGCGTCGATTGCTTTCGCAGTTCTGTCGACGGCAGTCCACGCTACGGTCGTAGAACTCGTAAGTTTCGCCAATATCTATGCTGTCATGAAAATCTTTCGAGTGCAGCTCGAGAATATCTTCTCGGTTGGTCGCATAATGGCATCGTGGTACTGTGCAGTGGAAATGGCGGTCGCATTCCGAGAACGCGCAGAGCTCGTCAGGGCATGGTCCGCCCAAGCGGAATACGTCGAAGCCTTCTACTGAACAGAGAGCGCCGCCATCTGCTTGACCAGAAAGAAGGGAGTCGTCGAGCGAACGGGGTATACAGCCCAGAGAGTCATCTGCATTTGCCTGCATGTGCACTTGTTGCTGTTGTTGTTGCTGGTGCTGCTGCTGGTGCTGCTGCTGCTGCTGCTGCTGATGTTGCTGGCCTTCAGCCAAAAGGCGCATCGTATTCTGAAGTTGTGCAGCGAGTTGTCCATTCAGGGGCGTAACCGGTGCGATCGTTGTGGCACTCCCCACCGGTGTGGCAAGGGGGCTGCTGGTACCTCCGGTTACAGCGGCTACCTTAGGTGAATCGAGCTTAGCGGGTCGACCCCGCTTCTTTGGAAAGTTGACATTGCCATCGCCTGTTACGGCGCACGGGGTCCGTGCTAATAATTCCTCTTTGGTTGGTTTGGCATTTTTGTCGTTGAGGTCATGGAACTTGAAATGTTCGAGCCGCTTGAATGGCGGGTCACTGCTGCTCACGATGTCCTTACAACCCGGCTGCAATATCAGAGCGAACGCAAACGTCGGTACTTGTGACCAATACTGCACTGTTTTTAAAAGCGTGCGCCTGAAACTGGACCTGTTAACACTATTATAGCCAGTTAGTAGAAAATACTATGCTTACCCAAATACAATGGTAGTGTTTCTCTCGGAGGTAGTATGGGCAAAAATCCTTAGTACAATCAGCCTCGATGCTTTTGCCCACGGTATGAAAAAAAGATTGCGTAATGCGATCCTGATATTCATGGCTTGCTGCATGCTCATTGGCTTCGCGGGATTCGCCGTTCGGCCCTGCCTGGATAACAGCTGTACAGTTGTCTAAAACGCGAAAAAACCAATCAGATATTTATAAAATGTCAAATGGCATTCTCAGTGTAAATTACACTGCTTTTGTTTGGCACATGCGCGTACCTGTAATACAATGGTAGTGCTCGCGGTACATGAGATCGCAATCGGCCTTGCACACATCGCCAACGGGATAACGGTTCATGAAGCGGGTCCACGTATCATCATCCGCAAGGATCGGCATCCGGTCCTCGTCATCCACAGGTATCAAGCTATTGGCTGAAGCTATCGAGCCGAAGATACTCGAACTACTCTTCCCATAGCCTACGATCGATAAAGGGGAAGCCCCATTAGTTAAAAAGCCCGATTTTTCCCAACAGTCTCTGTAGACTTCATTATAATTAAGGCAAGCACTTAACACGAACTGTTCTGTAAAAGCCTTTCTGAAACGGGTTTTGTTCAGTTACAAAAAAGTTGACACGCAATTTGCTTTCTCTAATGTAATGTCTAGTAGAGTAGGGGTGCCAATTGCTAGATATAATTAATAGCGGCATATAACATTATAAGCAGTTAGTAAATCGACACCTCATTATATACAGCAGGGCTTCTAATAAATAATGATTGCCGCTTACCAAGCTGGCTCTTCGGCGTGCTAGTATCAACTGGGGTATAGCTCGTGTTATGTCCGTTACTTCCGGGAGTGCCAGACCGCGACTGAAGTGCTTGTTGTGAAACTCCGGGAGGAGAATCTGGTGCCTTCAGGTCACCAGGGACACCCAGGATCGCCCCCGGGGGCATCGCAGCTGCTAACGCGGCCGCCGCAGCTTCCCCTGGTGACAACATCCCACCCTGCTGTTGGACTTGCGCCATCTTGATTTTCCGATAAGCGAGTTCGCTATCCTGTCGCTCATGTTTCCGCTTGTGAGAATACAGTTGGCCAGAACTCTGCAGTACGTAATTGCAGCCGGGTCGGATGCAATGAATGTGATTGCATACAAGGTGGAATCGACAGCCAGCGAACACGCATGCTTCGTGCTTAAGAAACTTTCTAAATCCATCTTTGGCTAGCTGTTCGTCCTTGATGTGGTACGTCTTATGCTTTTCGATATCAGCCTTATTTTTGAACGTCGTCGAACAGTTGTCACGGATACAATGGAAGTGTGTCGTCCGTTGGCCGTAGAACGCGCATGCTGGCGTTTCGCAGCACTCGGTAGCGCGGAATCGCTGAAATCCTTCTTGAATAATGGCGATATCTTTGCGATGGTAGTTTGAGTGCATCTGCACGTCCGATGTTGAAATATAGCACTTGTCACATTTGTCGTGCATGCAATGGTAATGGGTCTGTTTTCTGTTGTGGACACAATCAGGAAACTTCACAGAACAATCGTCTGATGGTGAGTAGCGTAGAAATCCGTACTGAAGACTTTCGTCCCGTTTCTTATGCCATTTGAAATGACGAACCATCTCTTCCTTCTTCACGAACACCTGCGAAGAGAGGGATATACACAAATAATGCATGAAACTCCTCTGTGTTTATATCATGCTACAAGAGATAAAGTGAGCAACTAAGTATTACCAGATATCCTTTTTCGCGTCCTGCATCTAGTACTCAACCCGTTAGACATTACTTCAGATGGCAGGCCCCTAGCACGACACGCGCGTGCGTGTCTACGCCCGAATTCAAACCTAAATTATCACACGTCGATATTCCTAGGTTTTGCGGGCAAACACGTTACACACTGCACTACTACGACAACTGATATCATCCTATAAGAACTACGATCCTATCAATTTCATTGCCTTTTTGTGCTTTCTCGTGGAGGCACGATTTACCCTGAAACGTGTAAGTAGAATAGAATGTACAGGATTTCTACTCAACGTTTAGCAAACATACGCCATTGTCCGTCATAGCCGATTGAATAGATTATTTTTTAACGAAACCCTGATACGGGGTGAGTGAGTTCGAAGAAGTGCATATATATATATATATATATATATATATATGCACTTCCGGTCCGAGTGCTTGAGAGAGTACCACGGTCCGAGTAACTGACGTGCATCTCGTTGAGTGCGTCGGTAAACATGGTTACTATAATCAGAAAATTAAAAAATTAGAGAGGATAAAGTATTATTATTATAGATCAATGGCTGCATGCATGGTTGGCATGGGGTTTCATGAGACTGTTGAAGAAATGCCTGATGAGTCCAGGTTAGACTCCTAATGGGAAAAATTCCTTAATGCTCTACATAAAAATGCGCGGTTCCAAGGACTTGTTTCCAAAAAAAAAAAATAAAAAAAAACTGTACAGGTTGGCTCATTCGAACTGAGAAAACCTCTGATGGGCCGTTTGTCGTTCATCCACTACTTCTGCTACTAAAAAAAAAACAATTCTATCTGGGACAAAACAGGAAGCTCGTCATGGCGGACATGTCGGTTTCAGGATGAAGGCTAAGATCAGCTCTTATTCCATCCAGCGGTGGAGAGAACCCCACCTAGTTTAAAAGCTAATTTTTTTGCCCGGAATCGAAGCGTTATGTTATAGCTAGTTTTTGCGCAATTTCCAAAAAAGTTTTTACTGAGACAAACCGGAAGACCCTCAACAGGGTTTAGACTTAGAAAGCTCGAAAGTTAATTAAAATGGCTTAAAAAATTATTTTTGATACACGTTGGGTGCTGATACAGAAATTATGTCATAACGTATATTCCCTATCGTACGCACACGCTTATTCATGTGTGCATTTATCGTGTCTAGTAGATTTCGATACGTCCGACCCCGTGCGCTCTGGGCGAGAATTCGAGACGCTCACAGTTAACGCTTCTTAACGTATACAGCTGTCGGGCTTCAGGTGAATGAGGTAAATGTCTGATCAACATCAGGCGGGCGGCAGACGTATAAGACTCCTATAGTGTACATAGAACGACTGTTGTCTCTGCTATAGTATTAGTATTCGTTGCATAGCTAAGACATCAGATCAGTAAGGCATCACACGTGCGCAAGTTAACTTGTAGATATGTACACGAAAGCTGCGTCGAATATTAAGCCCATATTGAAATTTTACATTTAGTTAGATTAGAAACATAACGGCCCATTGTCATATACTATAGAGACACACAAACTGTGTGAGCTATTTCGCAGACGTTGGTCTTAGCTCGACAGCAGACAGTCCCTGTTTACTGCCATCGTTCTAGGAACTACTATGATCTACAAGCTTCTACTGTTACTGTCGTTGTTGTTTTCGTCTTCTTCGTTCTGAGAGTTCTGAATAGTTTTCAAATGTCATCGCTTTGCAAGCGTTAAGCAGCTCGATATCTATTGCAGGACCGAAACGGCAAAGTGGCATGAACGCAAGTGGACGAGACTCCCCGATCAGCACCTCGATCCGTCCTTACGTCCGCCAGCAGCCAAACCCGCCGCTCTATCGGCATTACCGCCATAACGCTGGTTTAACGCAAGCAACTTTTCGACTTCTTCCTGTTACTGATAGGTCAGTCTGAGTCTGTAACTAGGATCAATGCAGTCGTTAGCTGCGTCGTGGCCAAATAACCTTACTGTTCGTGCTAGGCTTCGTACGTAGGACTCATGTTGACTGTTTGGCCAACAAATCGATTCGGTCGGCAATGACAATAGATTTTTGTCGTCGTCGTAATAGCAGGAGCAGCTAGAGTATTTGCAAGGTAACAGCAAGCAAATACTTCGTCATGCGACGACTTTCCGCGTCTTTCACGCAAAACAGCTGCCTATTTACCTCTGTCTGACTGTAGCCTCGTCTCGACGAGCACTGCCTTTTTGTCTACCAGCCTGCCCTCCCGCGGATCGCAGTCTCGATTTCATCTCAATAGGCTCAATTGTTTTCTCTCGATTTTAATTACGATCAAAGCAGAAAACGTATCGGAGTGCGAATAGATGGACGAATAGCAGTAACGGTCACAGCAAGAGCACCCGAACGCAGTCAAAGATTAAAACAATACACACAGGAAAAGAGACGAACAACATCTCATCGTGATGGGGGAAATTGAAAAAAAGGTCTGCTCTTTAAACGCTCGCGTCACCGACAAGGCTGACGACGACGGCCACAACAACGCGGACGACCTAGTCAGACGATTCAATCATCTGGCGATGCGATACAACGACACAGGAAAAATCGAGACTGACTAAGCCGAGCGCTCGAATCGATAGACGCGACAGCCTTCTTGTCATACGAGTGATGGTAGCAATAATAATGACAAAATAAGCACAAGCTGGCCTATTTGCATCTATACTATTGTGTTAAACCGACCGCCATCCTGACGCGGTGTTCAAACTCAAGCCAAAACCCCTAATGGGTTTACAAACAACAATTTAATCTCATAAATCGGACGCTATATTGGTTTCAGCCGGCCCGTCTCTCCCGCAATCTCATCTAGATTTGAAGGAAATGATGCGTATCGCACGACGTGGGCGCAATGAACGTATCGATTTTTCTACGTGCAGGTGATCGTGCACGAATGTGTATGAGAATAGTATGCAGCGCAGTATTTTGGGGTATTCCTTCACAGACGTCAAACAAAAAAGAATCGCTTCGTGTGTGTGTGTGTGTGTGTGTGTGTGTATGTGTGTGTGTGGCGTGTCTGTCACTCTTCTGTTGTCGCGTACCGACGCAACCGTCTGTCTCTCTATGCGTGCCCAACATGTATTCATGCCGTATTGTCTATTATTAATGTTTATACGTTCAATACAATAACGCGTTCACGTTACAAATCCACGGGGAAACTGCCCATGTCGCCAATCCTGTCGCCGCCACCAGCGCCGCTATGACCACCGAACTGTTATCTGAAGGGTGACGGAATCGAGATAGAAGTTCTTTCGTTTTTTTCCCTACTTCTTTGCGGCGTCGCTTTACGGTTAGTTATCTTTTATGCCGCGGCACAGGAAGTAGCCAAAAAAAGGCTGATCAAATCGTCGTTTTACTGTTATAAACCTACAGTGCGACGGCCAATGTCCGCTCGTGTTTTTGTTTATGTTGTAAGCGTTATTACTATTATTATTATTATTACATGAATGAGAAAATAGCCTGGCAATACGGAACGAGAAAGAGAATGATAGAATCAACAGTTGCTACTTAATTAGATACGGATACGCAGTTATCTCGGCTTCGAACAACGACAAAAGGTACCTCGTTGCAGTTCCACTGCGACATCGGGACCCTTTTCCCTGTTTTGCGTTTCCTAGCATTTAACTCTTCGAAATTCATCCGTTGAACAAACAATTTCTCTATGTATATGCATAGATATCATCCACATGATGGCGCTTGTCGGTTAGTTTTATTATCAATAGGGATTCAATATGAATGAGAGACTAACATAACTTACCCTGAAGTTGCAGTCGAGGCAGTGATAATGCTCACGATAATTGAGGTCCTTGCAGTAATTGTTGCCGCAGTGCTTGGAGCTCGGGTAACGGCGAATATAACGGGAATAATCAAGCGCGGCATTTTTTCCATCTTTTGCTGTAATGGTTACGGAGAACCAAGAAACAAAAAGGTAAAATACCAAATCACATTAGGAAACTTTCAAACAATAGCATTGCACCTGCAATGTTTTACAATTTAAATGATTCGGTAGACTGGCCTTGTGGGCCGTGCGTCGGGAAACCTTCGCACGTAGACGATTCTATTCGTGGTGAGCAGTACCGGTACGAAGTAAACGTTTACTTTCCACTAGAGCACAAATATGAAAAGCTAGTAAGCAATTTGCGTATGGGCCTGCCGAACTTCAACACAATAGGTCCTATTCAGCACTCTCTAGGCTCTTAATAAATAGGAGCATACTCATATTAAAAATGAACAGTGAATTGATCCGTTTTTAATACGCCTTTCCCCCAACGTGAAGATCATGGCGATGAAAACGGTGTTGTGTTATTAGCTATAGCACAACAATGTCTAACAAAATCTAAATTTCCCTGTAATTTCTTCTTATAGTTATTGCTTCGATCTTCTTTACTGTCTTTATGATCCACGTGCTGCGAGCAGGCAAGCTGCTTAAAATGAAATCAAAATCGCGCGCCATACTGCCAAAACAACAACAACAACTGGAACACGTGGCATGTTGTTGTTTATCAGAAGACGATAGCGCTGACAGTTGCTGGATCGTATTGTCTAGCGAACACCGATGAAAAATGATCAATCGTTCAACGATACGCGAGTGTATGATAATGTGACTCCTCGCTATTGGCCCGTTGTTCTTCATTGCATGAAGTTTTACATTGTATCATTTGGGTCATGCTGTGCTACTTGCTACAGATCTGTCTGTTTCAATCTCTCGTTCACCATTGATCATTGAAATACAATGTAGCTTGATTCCGTATTGACTGGTCATTAACACTAGATAGAATTACCACAATCGAAATGAGTCCGATCCGAATCTGGGGAGCGCGTTTTCGAAAAATTGTGCACTGTAGGGAAAAAAATATTCACGTTCGTTTACGATACGACACAATTGTCATAATAAATCAACAGACAGGACCAGTGTTCAGTCCTTTATAGGAAAAAATACGTCGTCGAAATAGTGACATCGGTGCTTTTCTAGGGCGTGCTTCCGCTCGACGCTTTTACACATTACTGGCTGTATTAGGGAGAAAAGTGGCGACCAAAAACCATATTGGAATAATGCGGCACATTTTCAGTGGAGAAGCACCAGCGACAAGTGCTGCTCGACCACAGCAGTTGCCATACAAAACTCTATAGATAGAAAGTCGCAAATAAATGCGGTCGTTCAGTGCCGCAGGCTATGACTGTCCATGTCGCCCGAGGGCACAAGACGATCTGGATGGACGCTGCTTTGGCCTAAACCGTCGAAGGCTCTTAACGATGAGTTGGTACCCGTTGCGCTAGTCATTTCCGAGAGGCAGTTGCGGCGCTGACTCCGGCCTCCGCTGCCAGGTCGGGCGGTTTGTTGCAACGCTCATGTTCTTTTACGAAGTTAGCGTGCTAGCGATTACACACGACAACGGAGAGAGCTAAATCGCATGAATCAAGCAGTCAGCTAAACGACCGCAGGCTCCACAAGGCCCCGCTGCGTTGACATATAGGCAGAAGCATATATGTATATGTATATATATATATATGCGCGCGCGAAATCGGATAGAGAAAAAGAAATCAAAACTAATCATCAGTTGTTTCCACTATTGTCATAGATTCTACTACTACTACCACTATTTGTTATGTCAACGTTTATTATTCTAAGTCATGTTTATTTTCTACAATACAGAGCTAAATTAAGTTACTTAGTTAATTGGTTTGTTGTTTTCGTACAAATCAAAAGCAGTAGATGTACTTTAGGTATACTGCGCTTGTTTTCTACTGAGGGTCACTTTTAAACGTTCCCATGTTGCATATTTAAAGGTCCGGAATCACTCGCTATGGCTAGGCCAGGTAGGAAAGCTTAAACGTTTTCTACTGAATATTCGGCTATTAATTTTTAACTCCTCGATCGCTTGGATTTCCGTTGAATTCCTTTGTTTTTCTAACTGATCCAAAGGACTGGTTCTGTTCGGTATCTTCCATAGGTCAGTTGGTGACGGTTTCAAATTGGAGATCATAGCGTAATTTCATACGCAACCGTTCTTCATTGTGTACGTGTTAAAGACCATCAGAAATCCAAATAACACTGATCATGTTAAGCACGCTAGAGAAAAATGTCGAATTAATTTCGAGTACAAAAATCTGTTTGCCTCCTTTTTCCCTCATACATATGAGTGTCTTTAATCTGTACGTTTGTATGCGCTGTGGGCTGTACATTCAAATGCCCCCGGGTGGTAGCAACTTTAACTGCTAGCAACAGATTTGTACGGGCGCAGTTATCGGGCGGTGGCATTCAAGTATTCCCAGTTTAGCCCATTTTGCAGTTCCCCGATGCGGCATAATTCGATAGGATCCTAAGTAAATACGACGGGTTGCATTTTTACAGTGAAACACAGAAAGAGAACATCAGACAAAAGTACGGTGTGACACAGTAGTTTTATTTAGAGAGCAGAATAATGTTAAAGTAAAAGGGACTTTATCGAGTAACTTAATTCCAGTAGTTCATTTCCAACCTGACAGCTCCAATTTGGTTTCGAGATTGAGATACGAATTGCCTTCTGATTTGCACTCATACAAAGTGGATCTATTTTCGCCGAGACCTTTGAAATTACTCGTAATTTATTGTTTTTTTTTTAGATCAAATACCAATTTAACCGACAAGTGTCTACTCCTACCTCTGAAGTTTGATACCGTGCGCTCGTGCTGGGTGCGCTCATAGAACTCTTCATCAATCATCATCTGGTGACGGAACGAAGAGTGAATCTCGTCAGAGTTCTTCATGCAGCCAAAGCAGCATCGCTAGCCGACCGCCGTTGTGCGAAAAGAAAAAAATTTCTCGTCGCTACTATACATCCATTGAAGAAGACTGCCCATTTAGGCGTTCTATCGTTCACTCATCATCAGATTCATTCATTGATTCATTCTTGAATTAATTATTCTTTCTCTTCGTCAATGCTTACGTAAATGAGCATTTCTGCGTACGACGTAAAGCCACATCAATAACGATGCCATCGTCATTTCATTCATTCACCAGAACAAAAATCAACGAGAATAAACAATAACGATAAAATAGCCAAGACTAAAAAAATCGATTGTCTGTACAAACAACATAAAGTGATGACCGGTTTAGGTAGCCCGCTGACCACGGTCCGTAATAGGCCATAGACGCCCCGTTTTCTTCTTTCACCTTTCGTAGATTTGCGTCTCCTTTACGCTCATCGAAAATGAAACTTCTAGCTGCACTGTCGGCTATCATAGATTTCTTTATCAGCGCGGATAATCACAACGATTTATACCCTGATACTGTATTTTTGTTCATCGTACGGCAAACAATTGAAGATGTTACGAAAGCGCCGGAACAGATCTGTATTGACCAAGGCGGCCACATTATCACGGACACCCGACATCAGCAACAATGGCACCTATGTTAAACTGGAATATGCTAAATTTATTTTACATACCTATAGCTGCATTTTTTTGATGACTCTGTGCCTGCAGAAGGAGTAGGCAATGATGATTTTTTTCTACAGCACAGAGAAGCATTTCTATACTAATTGTAAATACGTTAAATACACGAGTAAGGCACCCGTGCACAAGCGGCTCAAAATACCCTTTTAATTAACTTAGTCCATATCTATGGGCCACTAAGACAACATGTTAAGTGCATCCGGGTTAGTCGCCCCAAGAGATTGTGAAAATATGCAACAAATAGCAATTTAATTCGTCGCTTTTTACCCAGCTTTTTTACGCGGTAAAAAAGGCACATACATGTAAATATACACTAGTATCTCCGCAGTGTTCAATATGCACAGAAAATTACGTTTACATAAGTCACAGACAATATATGCATACTTATTTGCCCAGTATTAGAAATAAAACTCAATGCAATAAGCCCTTTTCTTTTCAACTAAGCTTTGAGTTACGAAGATATTTGACCCATTCAGCGGCCATTGAAACTAGACACTATCACGTCTATCTTAATTTTTCTATTATCTACGAACTATCGTGAACTCGTCAATCGAACGTTTGAATCCCGCTACCGTCCGAACGGCACTAGCGCAACACAGCATCTCAGCTTTAGGTCTTCAGGCTTACTTTAAAGGATGACCCAAACCGCCGGCCATACCATCGGTTAATGAACAAACCTTTCATATATATATTTTTCGTTATGTCTATTTTCACCGTTCGATTTTTCTCTTGTCCGTACTATCGCTATTAGATATAAAGCCATGTAATTGTAGCTTGAATCGTTGCTGTGGAAATCTGCCTCTAGTACGTGCAGCGCGGCGGCCGCTCCGTCGTCGTCGCCGCCGCCGCCGTCGCCGCCGCCGCCGCCATGGCCATAGCTGATTCACTCCCTAATGTACCGCCGTCTGCAACAAACTGATTTGGCAGCTAGACGACGCGATACGATGACGAAAGCGTGCTTCTGCGCTATACCAGCATCATAGTGAAGTGCCGCGGTCAATATTCGTATGTACGTTTTCGATGTACCAGAAGTACCGCGGCCATTCGGTGTACCGTTGCGTACTGATCAACTATATACCACACGACTGCTGGCTCCACACTATCCGCTAAGTTGTACGCTATTCACGTATGACAACAATCGTAGTATGCATCGACACGCAAAAACATACTCACACCCAGCCAAACACAGACAATGATAATTATATGTAATATAATAATAGAATACGCAACGACCATTACATGCAACAATTTAATAGTCCGGACGCGTGGCTAGTTTCCAATAGTTATTGCTGCTATTGTGGTTGTCGTCGTATTATCATAGTAAGTACCAATAATGCTACTTAATGTAGCCGAATTGTTTATCTTATTTTCGCTGTTGCCCGTTTTCCCTCTATCTCTTACGTAGCGTCTGTCCGGCGGCAACAGCACGGCAGCATCCATATCTTGTACCGATGGGGATA